TCTTCTCTTCCCTAATTCATTTTTCATATCTCCTTTAAAAGTCAACTTTAAATTCAACATTTTTGAGTTTTCCTTAAGCCAGTTCCCTCACTCCTCAGCACATTCCTACTCTTATGGACTCAATTTAACCTATATTAATGTGCAGTTGTTGACATTTTTTATGTTATAGAAGTTTACCTCACATTTTTACATTTTATCTTCCTGTCTAGATAATGAAATGCCTCCACTTTTTTTGGTCTATGTCCTTCTCCATTTGCCACCTTCCCAAAAGCCAGTAGAATAGCAACCAGCACAAAGTAAATACTAAATAAATATGTGGTTAACTGATAAATCTAAGATAAATATGGCTCAACTATTTAACAAAGCAGAAAGTCTTTTGAACTAATATATTTAAATGTATGTCTTCTTTTCATTTTATTCCCTAAGCACAAAAGCATTAGATTTGTAATTTCAACATTCCCATCCAAAAAACATATTCAAGCAATACCCAAAAGCAGTCCTATTAAATACTTTTTTTAAAAAGATATCCCACAAACTGTCCAGAAACTCCTTTTTTTTCCCCAGGAGACCTTTTCTAATAGTGTTATTTTACTCTCTTGTGGCAAGAGTTATCCAAGTCTTTGACAACACTAAGCAGGCAGTGACATTCCAGACGTGAGTATCAACTGTTTAAGAACAAAAAAAGACTATTTGGCTTTAATAAGAGATTATCATAAATAGGCCCATTAAATCTAAAATGTGAAAACAATTGTGTTTATATTTAAAGTTGAGTATCTTCATCTTTATCTTCTTATCCAAGAAAATGATTTTAAATGCTTAAATTGTTAACGAAAACAGATGGAAATAATAATTAATTAAAGGTATGGCTCACTGTATATAATAAACAAGTCTCTAAAATACTGTGACCTAATCAAACTGGTTTTCAAATCCATTCTAAGCCATGACTACTTAAAAGAGCACTATAGGAACTACTCCGAAAAGCACACAGTACTCATGGTTATAATCTTGTCTCTAATTTTTGTTTTCCAAGAACGTATTTTCATATACAGATTTTCTCTAAAAGACACCTTTGCTACTTAACTTTTACATTAAATGAGCCACCTAACAGTAGACCATATTTATCCTAAAATATTATATTTTTCCTCATATGCCTGCTGACTCTGCAGTTACTCTAATTCATCACTACAGCTCGCCAGAAGTAAATGTCTAATATGGTTCAGTTACCCAAATAACAGTAATAAATTTGAGTGTATATTACTATACACTATAGTTAACAAACTTCAACACTGATAGGTACACATATGAAACACATCCTACTCATAACTTTACAATACTTTAAGTGAAAAAGCTAAATCTAGTTTCCCCTCTATTTAAAATTACAATTCCTACTTATATTACACTTCAGTTAAAAAACACATTGGTAAAATTTTGGTGTTCTCTTCCTTGATATTTCAAATAATGCTTTAGCAATTTGAAAAGCTTACTCCATTTTAATTGAGTGAGTAGGTGTTTACTAATCATTCCCTTTTTTAAAAAAATTACTTGAGAAGTAGATACAGTTATAATAGGGAAACACCAGGAATCCTTGTGATGATGGAACTGTTCCTGTATCTTGAGAATAACACTGTCAATAACCTAGTTGTGATATTGTACCACAGTTTTACAAGATGTTACTGTTGCAGGAAACATGTTAAAGTAAAAGTGGGATCTCTGTATTGTTTCTTACAACTGCATATGAATCTACCATTATCTCAAAACAAAAAGTTTAATTTAAAAAAATACTGAAGAGTAATTTAATGAGAATTCATTTTTCTGGCCTCCCAGAAAATTTTTTGAAAATTCAGTATTTTCAAAAATCCCAAATGTGCATATGAAAATACCTCCCAAATGAAAAACTGTACTCCTTTTAAAAATTAAGAGCTAGAAAATCGTTCTTATAATTCTTTCCAAAAATCTTGAGCAAGAAGAAATCTATAGTGTTACAAAAGTCTGATTTGAACAAGGAAAAGTAAAAGCTTTACTTGCTTGTTAAAATAACTCTCTAGATAGAAATATAAGAGACAGACTCAATATATATAGATGGCTTACTAAACAAATTTATCCCACTCCCTTCCAACATCTCTTGTTACTTGGATTCAAAAACTAACAAAGGAAATTTTTCAGATATCATGTAAACATTTAAACTATGAAAAATTAAATCCAATATCACAATTTAGTTCTCCATACTCAATCCCTGAAGCTGGAGGGGACAGTGGATTTAAACACCAGAACTATTTCCACTTTGTCAATCCTTTCAACAAGCTTTCCTCCTATACACTGTCCTACAAAAGTGCCTCACCTTTAACTCCTACAGAGAGAAACCCCTGTCTCAAGGTCACCATAAGAATACCTCACAGCTTCTATCATACCAAACAGACAAATTCACAGTTGTATCATAATGCAAAGAAAATTAACACCCTTGATGAAAAAATATGACTATAAAAATTCCTCAAGACAAATAAGTAACAGAAAATACATATTAGCCTTTTCCATTGAGACTTTTGATGAAGTGTCGACTATCTTACAAGTTATATATCGCTTTAGGAATAAGATTTAAAAATAACATCACGTACTATAGCATATACACTGAAATTAACTCATCCTCAAAAAGGACAATCAATAAAGAAAATTATACACACAACTGTAGTTTTCATGAGGCAAAAGGCTTGGGATTTTGCAAATGTTACTTCAAAAACAAGGTAACTCTAATCTTTAAGTCACCTCTTCAGAAGGAAAGTCAGATCTTTAGCTCCTTATACACTGCAAATAATCAGGCATTAGGACATATTACATATCCTTTGACATGAGATCAGAAGATTATTAAAGTGTCAATAAAATATACAAATAAAACAATATTGCCATACCAACCTCTTTTAGACATTTCCTTTAAGATAAGAAATGGCTACAGGACCATATCTACCAGTATACTTTCATATAAAATGACTGCTTTGCTATTCTCCCTTCCCCCCAAAGCTAAATCCATTCACTGATTATTAGAGGTCATAGCTTTTTTTAATTACAATTTTTTCCTGAAATTTAAAACAAACCACATAGATAAAGATAAATATTCAAGTTCAAATTTTCAACAGATAAAAAAACCTAACAGTTTTAAAGCTAAAAATTTCCTGCTCTAAAGAATCAAATATTATGAACACTTCTACAATGTAGAAAAATAATTTTTTTCTTTGTGTAATGCATGCTACAGAAAGAAGGACCCACACTGTTCCAATGTCATGCTACAGTTCACTGAACTTTTTTTTTAATTTTAGACTACATATATCATACCTTAATTTTAAAAAGTAAAAAATATATATTTGCCCTTATTTTAAAAACAGAAAGTATTTCTAATAGCCAGTTTCTGAAGTTCATGTCCTTGATATCAATGAATGTCAGTTAAATATATTTTCTACAATTCAAGTCAGAGCTAACAGTCTGAAACAGCAATATCACTATTCATTTAATGAAATATACTAAGCATCTACTATGTATTAGACAAAGAAAATTTGAAAGTTCCTGAGAATGTATCAGTTGCAAAAATTGACATGTATTCAAAACAGTAGTAAAGAAAGAGAATATAGCCTTCTTCTTAATAATTTTCTTCTTAATAATAATTTTATTCTTAATAATTTTCTCTCCTCAACCCAAAAAAGCGATGATTTTCAAACCACTACCAATAAATGGATAGAGGTGGGAGAAGAGCTGGGGTTTGGCTGACATTTTATGATATCCTTTTGATTAAGGATAATATTAGTCTTTAGGATATTTAAAATTCAAAATGTTTTTATTTGAGATGTTAAACAACATGCTATATTTTCCCCTTAAGTTGTAATTTCATCATTAAAAATGAATTTTAGTAAATTAAGGTAGTGTATGATTTTTACATAGAAACTTGTTTTAATGTAAAGTGGTATAAAGGGTTAAATTGGTTATGAAATTAACCTTCTTTTCTGATGTTTTGCTCCCATAGTATCTTAAGAAGTCAACTATCATTTTACTAGGGGAAATAAAAAAGCACCGGTCAAAGAGGAATTACTGAGTTTCAGCCTAGAGATTTGACAGCTGGTTTTCTTATGTTGCTGTCTTGGCTTTTGTTTTTGTTTTTTTTTTTTACCTCTTCCCGCACTAAGGAATAAATCTAAGTTAAACAGAAAATGATAGCTTTTGTACACTAGAATGGACCTTGCTTCTGGAACATTTATTTTTTAAAAATCATGAGTATAACTAAGTAAGAAAAACCAAAAATGCACACTTAAGAAATATAGGATAAATGTTAATAATGGAGTAGAGTAGTTATAAATATACAGAAAGTAAATTTGAGGACGAAAGCACTAGTGTAGAACTAGGAATCTAATTTAACTTACGCTAAACATCCTAATGTAACATGAACGTAGGACAGAATTCAATCATCTGTGTTATTTGAAAGTACATCTAACTTTCTATTCATTCATTTGTAACATTTCAAATAACTGTGCACAAAATTGTTAATTTCCTGAAGACTTCCAAAAGGAATAGCCATCTTTTAAAATAAGTGTTACTAATTACTGCTTGACTCAATTTCACTTTTCATATACATATTTTAAATAACATTATTTTACCAACTCTTTAGAATCCAAAAGTTTAATAACATTAATGGGCTAAAATTTAGAAAATTTTTAAAATACAAATATTTAAATAAACAATTTAAAAAAAAATACTACACATGGACCAAAGAGCATTTTCTTCTGGTACTTTTCTAAATACAGAGGCATGCTATAATCCCTTGCACTCAAACAAGATAATGTTCAATTTAAAAATTCAGAGAAAAGAGAACAAATTTTAAATTCACATTGAAATTCTTGAAGAAATGTCAATGGATCCTTAAAGGAACAGCCCACATTTGGGGCTTGTTTGTTTTTGTTTATAGTTTTAACTAGACATCACAACACCAAAATATGAGTTTCTGATTTTAGACATGATCTTACCTGATCCGCTGAACTGACTGCTTCCCAGTGTCGTTGGTCTGGTTTTCCCACTATTAACAGGTGGGGAAAACATCTGCAAAATAATCCAAACGCATCTGTTAGTTGTGAAATTCTTCTAGATTCCTTGCAAACAAAAGTCCACCAAGAGTCAATTAGTTGCTGTATTTCAGAGGGAAGTTAAAATAAAATTGGATATATACATTCATACCCAGAAAAGCAAATACATTTAGTGATATTATTTCCTCACACTATTTGGAAATACTGGCTATCTTCTGTTCTGAAAACCCAGTCAGTTACATGAGAGATTCTAAGATTATTAAGTTTAAGTGGTAAGTTTCTGTCAATGATCTTCGCTTTGTACCAGCAGTTAATAAAGGAATTCAACGCATTAGAAATAAGGGCAGTGGGGCCAGCTGATATTTTTAAGTCACTCAATTATTTCCCATGTTAAGAAAATTTTAAATGTACATACACATATGTACTTCTTGTATATGCATATCTTCACACACATACACACATGTATAAGTACATATATATTTATATTAAAATGGTTCAACCCAAAAGGCTGGGAATCCTAGCCCTTCACTAGCTTTCCTGTAACTGACATCTTTCAGGTACTATAAACTATACATCTTGAAAAGGGAAATGGTTAGGAGTGTTGAAGAAAAAACAATTTTTTTTCATACGAAGTTCAAAATCCCTAATAATCATCAGGGTCAGAGGATGACTCAACCAAAGCTCAAGATTACGCTGTTCTCCTTTTAACTGGCTAAATCAAATGACCCCTCTGGCATTAAAGTTTTAAATCTGCAAGTCTAGACATTACATCAAAGTTCAGGTGTCCAACTTGGGGGAGCTGGACTCCAGCCCTGAGAACTACTGCTCAAAGCAGATGGAGTTCACGCTGCTTAGTCTCCACGTCGCTCTCCCCCCTTTCTTTCTTTTTCTGTAAACCTCAGCGGAACCCCAAGATGCCGCAGAAAGCTCTCATACCGCACTGAAGTCCAGCAGGTCGCTCAGCTCCTTATCGGTCCCTATAGCAGCCATGCGCTGCTGCTGGGGATTCATCTTCGGCCACTTCTAGCAGGTCCTAAGGCAGAGGAAAGAGGCTCAGCGAGAGACCACCGAGGCCCAAAGTGTGTACGGGAATGGAGAGAGGCGTAGAAGAAGAGGAAAAACGCCGGGCTGCCTTCCAATATCCTACTCGTTCCCCACCGCCGCGCGGGCAGGGGGCAGGAGAGCCCGGTGCCCGCGCCGGGTCCGTGAATCCACGCGTTTCTCGGCCCGGCCCGGGAGCTACGCGGCGGCTCCCGCAACTCGCCGCCTCTCCCGCAAGTTTCCGAGCCCGCCCCTGCCCCCTCCCCGGCGCCCCCTACCCCGCGCAGCCGCGGGGTGCCGGACGCGCGGGGCCCGGCCGGGGCGGGGGTCTCGAGGGGCGGGGATGAGGGGCGATCGGGCATCCAGCGAGCGGAGCGGCGGCGAGGGGAGTAGCGAAGTGACTCTCTGGCTCGGCAACAATAGAACTGACAAGTTGCAGGGAACGCGCCGCTCGCAGGCCCGCGTCTGCGGCCGCCGCCGCCGCCCGGATGTCCCCCGCGGGCCCCGGGGGTCGGAAAGCACACCCCCCCCCCCGCGCGCGCGTCCGAGGGGCGTTTTTAAAAAGAAAACAGAAACACCGACAACTAGCCCCGCTCTTGCCCGGCGTCCTCCTCCCCCGGCTCGGCCTCCTCCCACTTTTGCTGCCCTGCCCGCGGCCGGCCGGCCCCGGACCTGCCTAACAATGAGCCTGGCTCGGCAGCCGAAGAACCCGCTCTCCCGCGCGCCCCGGAACCCCAGCCGAGCGCTGAGCGGGGCGCGCAGGCCGAGCGCGCCGCTCGCGGGCCTGGCCGCCCGCGACTCTTCACCTCCGCCCCCACTCCGTTCCCCAACTTGGAGGGGACCCCGAGTTCGCCTCTGTACAAAGGGGCGCGGAGTTGGGGCGCGGGCCGGGGGCGCCTCCGCTCCGCCAGGAACGCGGCGCCGCTCCGCAGCCCCCAGCCCCAACACAGCGTCCCCCTCCCGCTTGCCGGCCCGCAATTACCTGCCGCCCCGTCTCCGCATCCAACCACCCCGATTAAAGTTCACTTTGGCCGGGAGAGCGGGCTCGGACTTCCCCTTGCACGGCCCGGCGGTTCGGCTCACTTTCCCCCGCGCGAGCTTTCGGATCCGGGCGGGGGAGGCGGCTCTCAGGCCTGGCCGCCCCTTCCTCCCGGGGCGGGCTGGCGGTCCCCCCAGATAGAACTTGTGGGTCTCCTCAGGCGGACATTTTTTTCGCTGAGGCGGCCTCAGCACCGCGCTCGGCTCGGTTCTGGATCCCTCCGCGCCGGGAAGAGCCCCGGATTAACCCTTTCGTCCCCCGCCCGCTCCTGCCGCCTGCGCCGAGGAAGTGGGGCCAGCCGAGGGGGCGGGGAGGAGCCTGCGGGAACGGGGAGGGGCCGGCGCGCGGCTGGCGGACAAAGCCCGCGGTGGGGTGAGGCGGGCCGGAGTCGGAGCCGCTGGGGAGGGGCGGGAGCCACGAGCAGACACCCAGCGAGGTAGGGCTAGGCCGCCCGGGAGGACGCCTGGTCGGGCCCCTGGGAGAGGGTAGGCGGGCACCGTGGCGCCTCCCCTTGCTTGTCCTGCTCCGGCTTCCCGCCCCGAAGCGGAGCGGCGGAGACGCTTCAGCGGGCTCATCTGGATCCGCTGACCAGGCCACCCAGCCCGAGGCCGCAGAGCCCTGAAAGGCTTCCGTTCCCGAGCAAGCCGCGCTGGACGCCAGATGCCACACTCGGCCTGGCCCGAAGGCTCCGGCCCTGGGAGGCTGCGTAGGGCTCGGCTTGGAAGATGCGTGTGTGGGGAAGGAGACCGGCCACCTCGGTCGGCTTTTGGAGTAGGTACGGTTGGTCAAATTCGTTGCTGAGCGGAATGCAGAAGAGGCAAAACCTTCCTCAAACCACACAAAGCAACGTGGGCTTCAGGTTCCCAAACACTTCACTCACTCAAGCATCCACGACTACAATCCCCTCTTCCCATCCGAATCCCAAAAGAGGCCACCGAATCGCACAGCAGGACGAGTTCTTGTAAATGGATCAAGCCAGTCCTTTCATTTTACAGAGACAGCCCAGAGAGGCTCTGTCACAAAGTCGCAGTCTTGGCGCAAGTACTGAACTTGGCCTGAAGAACCCCAAACGGAGTAAGAAGAGGACAAAATAACTAAACCTCAATTTCATTCTATTCAGACGTCAGAGTAAGGTTTTCTCCAATAGCAGCCAATGTTTTGACTCTTTTGGGTCAGTGAATGCAGTAAAGACCAGTAAGCCCCAGGCGGAAGAAACACTGTGAGGAAAGAAGACATATCCAAAGTAACAAATTGAAAAATGCAGCGAACGCCTTGAGGGCAACAACCTGGCAAGAAGGAGCCATTGGAGCCCAGATTTGCATGGAAACAAGGAGATAGACTTAGCTGCAAATATGCAATAACTGTACTTTATTACAAACAGAGCTGTCCAGCGGAAGAAGGCAATTGTAGCTTGGGGGTAAGGGTTTCCATTACGTTCTCAACAGCTACACCCTGCACCTGGCCAGATCCTGTGGTAACCTTCCCTGTATCTACTACCCCTTATCTAGGTAAACACCTACCCCCTTTCTTAGCATCACATCCCTGGCCTGGCTGCCTACTGGAGAATGCGGTTCCATTCCAAGCAAATGAGCAAAATTCCAAACTAAATGAAGCAGCACAGTTCCATTCCGTGCTACAGTTACTGGTTGGCAATGTGCATGACACAATTTGGGCCAATGCTGGGGGCTTCGGGGAAAGTTTTTGTTTATTTTTTTTTCATATTCCGAGAGCTTCAGAGGCAACTTCCTCTTTCTGCACGTACTCAAGAAATCCAGGAGCATAAAAACAATGAAAAAATGTGAAGGAATATCACCAGCATATTTTACGGAACAAAAAAAAAAAAAATCAAGGAACCTCTGGACTTTGGGCAGCCATCTTCCAACCACCAGGTCCAGCCGGGTGAAAATAAAGCAGACATGGAGAAAGCATAGGCAGAAAAAGATATGCTTTGGTGATGTTTTTGAGTCTCTGATCACAGCTTCTGAACCCAGGACTACTGTCATTGATGGAACCAACTGGATTAGAGTATTCTGCTGTTTGTAATCTAATGTGTTCTAAGCGATATAGGCCCAATGGCTATTTTTTGTAGCAAAGACCTAAACATCAAGATGAAAAGTCTGAGTAGAACTTTTAAGGCCCCATACCAGTAGAAAGATTCTCAGTGGTAAAACTGAAGAGAAATCTTGGGGAAAGGAGAAGGCGTATAATCCCATATCAAGACAAAAGGAGAGCCAGTTTCTTCTCATACAACTAATTTAGAGGAAGAAATTACTGTCTGCCCAAACCCTCGGTCATGGGGGCTCCCTCACTCCTTTGAGGGACTGACTGAAGTTTTTCATTTCTATTATGGCCCATATTGTTATATACTTTATTTTCCTCATTAGATTAAACACTCCTTGAGGGATGGGACTGCTATGCATCTGTCTGTACTGTGCCCCTAGCAAAGTGCCATGTGTATAGTGCACACTCAAAAAAGGGAGGCTGGAATTAAATCTATCAGTCATTTGGCATTAAACATGAATATACTTCTTATCCTGTAATGCAGTCTTTTCATGTATCATTTTTAATAGGGGAATATTTTCCCCACCAATGGATTTTCTATAATACTCTGGACATATATGGAAGACAAAAAGAATATAAAAACTGGAGTTGTGTCACTTGTAAGTAATTTCTGGGCTTTTGCTGACCTTGCCAGATAGAGCCAGAAAGCTTTATTAAAAAGCTCAGAGAGAAACAGTCAGTAACACAAATTCAGTAATAATTAATAGTACTCTTGCTATAGTATAAGTTAATATCAATAAATCAATATTGAAATATATTTAATGAACGCTTCTTACATGCAAGGCATGGTGCTAAATGCTGTTTAGGAACAGAAAATATCAAACCCACCCTGCCACTCTATACTCGAAAACACACACAATTTTATCAGGGAGACCTGAAATGCCCAAAGAAACCTTTACAGTCAAAAGAAAAAGCAGCCAAAACAATACAGTTTGCTCCCTTGGGAGAATGACTTGAACTTGGCCTCTCATTCAGAAGGCAAGAATTCTAGAAAGCTCAGAGAAGGAAAAGGAGGAGGAGAGAGAATAGAGCCAATCAAGTCAAGGGGCAAGTTGCTATGTAGATGGAGTGACTGGCTTCCTAACATTTTCCCCTTAGAACCAAGGTTAATGGCTAATAGACTCCCTTGTAGCTCCCTGCTCTGTAGGAGAGCAGCTAGGAGTCTGTGCTTTCTTTCCCACAGCTGTCCCCTTGGGACTAAAGGGAACAATTTTATGTAACAATTAGTTTAATAAGAAGTATTACTTTCAGTTCATGGCACTCACATCAAAGATGAATTAAAAGCCAAGATTTTCCACTTTTATCATAAGCCAGATTCTGCTAGTCATCAATGATCCCCTCCTCACTCTCTTTGATCAGCTAGCAAGAATCCCTCACCTTTGGGGGATTTCCTGGTATGGATTTCGCCTTTCCTCTCTGTTCATAGGTAAAAAGAGTATTCTCCTTGCTAGTGTCATTTATTATTTAAGCCATTAAATGGCTTTACTGCAAACTTCTCTGCAGAAGGTAAAGCAGGAGATCTCTAGAGGGTAGGGGGATTAAGTGAACATTTGTATATTGGTTGCTGAGGCTCCCAGATATCTTTACCAACTTGGCTCCCAGATTCCAGCAGCCAGACTTTCAACTTCCAAGGAGGAGATTGGAAGATCCTTCTATGTAGAATCTGATCAACCCAAGAGGAAAGATCTGAAGATATTAACATGGGAGGTTCCCCACCTATTAACCCAAACAAATAATTCTATAAAGACGTTTATAGCTGACAAACCCCCCACCCAATCACTCAGAGTTTCCAATCAGCATTGTACTGTCCTGTTCTTAAATGTGAGCAGACAACCAAGGATTGGTTATCAGACATTTGAGAGAAGCCACTATCATGTGAGACATTTAGAGCATTCAGAATTGAAAATGGGAGAGTATAAATGGGGAGAAAATTGATAAATGCTTTGGAAGAGGAAGTTAAGGAAATCTATTAGAAAGCAGAGAGGACCAGTTCAGGAAGTACAAAATCCAAATAATAATGGCTCCAAAAAGAGAGATAAGGGGGAAATATGATGAAAATCATCAATGAAATAATCTAAGAAAAATTCCCAGAACTGAAGTAAATGAGTTACCAAATTAAATGGGTTCACGAAGTGCCCACCAAAACAGATAAAAATAGATCTATAACAAAGCATGTGATCAGGAGATTTGAGCATAACGCAGACGAAGACAAGATCTTCAAGCTTTCAAAGAGAGCACAAAACAGGACAAACACAAAGAATTAAGAATCAAAATGTCATCCATTGTTCAACAACACTAGAAGCTAGCGGGCAATGGAACAAGGCCTTCAAACATTCTGAAGAAAGAAAATTGCTAAATGAAATAATGGTTTGGAAGTATTTTTTTAAATAACTCTATATGTCATATCATTTTTAAAGCAAATATTACTTTGGTTAATGGGACTTACTCAATGTGACTAAGTCAATGTGACTTAGGGATAGAGATACACCCAACTGGGTCCCAGATAGAACACACAGTGGCCTCACCTGCAAATAATACACATACAGGTTTTGCTCTCTTTTCTCAGCATCTCTAAAGAATTTTTAAAATATTATTAACTTTTGGCAAGGAAAGAATCCTCTAATTATTATATTCTCTTTTGAATAGTCAAATTTAATATACATATTTCTGGTAGTCTGATCTCAGTTATTCACTTGCAATGAGGTAAGCATCCAAACAACAAACACCTTTTTGGTTTTTTATTTGTTTGTTTTGGCTGCGCCACACGGCTTGCAGGTTTCTAGTTCCCTGACCAGGGATCAGACCCAGGCTCCCTACAATGGAAGCTCAGAGTCCTAACTACTGGACCGCCAGGGAATTCCCAGTATTTTTTAATATATCAAATTTTAAAATATTTTTACCAGATTTTAAAATATATTTGCTATGTATTTGAAGAGGCAGGTGCCTAGGAACTAAGCCAACTAATAGAACTGTCTTAGAAAAGCTAACAAACACTGGACTACTTATTTTGCTCCATCTGTTTAACCTGTCCTTGTTTGGAATAAAAGTTTGAAAACTGATGTGGAGTACCAACAACGACCGAAGACATCTCACTAGAATGGAAGCTCCATGGGGCAGAAATTTTTTTCTGTATGGTTCATTAGTGTATTCCAAGCACCTAGAAGACAGTGCCAAGTAGACAGTA